AATAACGGAGACTATTTCATTTAATAAATGTTTTGTTTGATAGATAAATTGATTGTGTGTAATACCACTTTTTAATTAAAATAAACCCACCAAATGTTTTAGGACAGGGCTTAGACTAGTGGTTGGCGTGATCGCAAGTTCAAGGTTCGCAGCCCATTGCCGCTAAAACTCGCTCCACACTTTGAGATTGTTATTTTACAATTCAAATTGTATTATTAGATCAAGCTAGAGCAAGAGTTGGCGGTGGATGGTGTTGACTAACTACCTTCCCTGTAGTATATGAGTTTAAAATTAGGGAAGACTATGTGCAAATAGCCTTTGTGTAGTTTTGCGCAAAAATTCTGAAACAGGCTAATAAACAATTTTTCTTTCGTTAATTTGTGTAATATTTCTTTAATCTTCTATTTTCATTGCATACTTTTTATCTTTTAATGTTTCCAGATTTAATAATTTATTGATATTTTTACTGTTGAGTTTGAATTTCGCGCAAAGCTACACATCTGCGATAGACGTCCCTAATTTAGCAGTGTAAAACTAAAGGGAAGGCAGCTAGTCATCACCAACTCTTTACCACCGAATAGTGGGATTAACCGTCACATTATAATGCCCCCACGGCTAAAAGGGCGAACATGTTTGGTGTGATGGGGATTCGAACCCACGACCCGCTGATTGCGAGTCGAGCGCCCTAACCACCTGCCATGCCGGGCATACTGTTGAGACTTAGTTGTATTTATAAACTATATGTATTTTTCATTTTTAATTGTCCTATTTTTCTAAAATTAGTTGTTTTAGTAGGACGGACAAGCTAGTTTCATTAGATAAATCCACCGGTAAGTCTTCTGATTTACAACTCTAAAATCAGGGGTTTGATTCCCTTCGGTGGACACAACAGATAGCCCGATGTGACTTTGCTATGACAAAACACATACACACATTCATTAAATAAATAATAATATAATAATCCAGGAACTTGTACTTTGATATCTGCTTCTTGCTTTTACTTTATCTATTTGTGCACTGGTGTACTGAGTCGAGATACTATTTCACCACATGTGGCACGTTTGACGCAACACAAGATTATGTTGGACATTGCACTATTTATTCATTCTTGGGCACATAGCTACACGGTAAGCTATCTTTACTCTGCTCCACCACCGGTATTGAGATCCAATTTTAGTGTTATAAGCCCTCAAACTTTCTGTTGAGCCACCAAGAGGGCATTATAGGGAGAACGCTCAAACTGCTCATTAGATGAGCGGTATTTCTGAAAAAAAATCCATAAATTTGAAGTTTAATGCACCCTAGATTCACATACTCACAAAAGATGATTTTATAGCTA